GCAAACAAACCTCAGACTTATCTTCCTCATTTTGAGCTTCCTCCTAAGAATTTGTGAGTTCAATATGACCAGCCTTCCCATTTCGGATGTCCAATGACATCTTAGAGACTGAAAATCGTTCGCCTCATTACCAGCAGCCAGTTCACCTTCTGCCAGACACCAACAGCCTTCCAGGTACCACTGCTGAGAGCTTCAACTGAACTGGCCACGACTGACGAGGTACGAATTTCTGCAGTGTTAGAGGAAATATGTTTTTGCTTTTTAATCGCTGTGACAAACCAAAACTGTGATCAGCCTCTACAGTTTCTAGTCTCGCTCAATTTTTAAAAAGTCGTCTTTTAGGAAACATAAGAGATAAATGTCTCGAATAAACTACAGCACAGTGATGCCGATAAGACATAATTTTACTTCCCTTTCCCCTGTAAACATTTAATATTTGCGCAACCATTTAACATTAAGAAGAAATTAACCCAGATAGATGTAAGCAAGGGATTGAAATCATCCAACATTTTATCCATGCACGTCTATATTACAAACATTCGACAAAAGTTTAAAGCATATCATTAATCTATTTTTTATTTAAAAATATCTCAATGAAAATAATCGAGAGAATAAATTGAGCTCAGGAATTAAGCATCTCTTGGTGTCCACCATTTATTGTGCAAATATTTGGTTGGACAACTTTAAAAGCTGCACATTGCTACCTGCAAACTTGTTGTTTGCAGCTAAACTTCATACTTTCAGACCAGCTTCGCTGAGGCATAAGCTTCACCTCTTTTCTCTTAATAGTTATTGTCACATTCCTTTTTTGGCCTTGCCTTCACCCTTGTTTGTAGTATTATTATTGTCTGAACAAAACTGTTCACAGCCAAATTTACAGCATTCAGTAACAATATCAGTCTGCTCTTATGGCAAAATTCTACATGAACGGTTTAGAGGCTCTGATGAAAAAAGGATTGAAATAATTCGATAACCATTTTATGAACTATTGAAAGTTTTAAAGGGGAATCGCCAATGCTTAGTGTTAGAATCCAAAGATGTGCATCCCTGCGTACAGTGTTCTGTTTTGCTGTTCTAGTTCCTCTCCTGCTCCGAGTTCAACATGGGTTGGGACTCAATAGCCCGGTGGAAGTCACAGTTACGAGTGTTTGTGTATTTTATTGCTGAGTTCAACAAGTTTAATTTCAGATATCCAAGGACCAAAGAAGGAGCGAGAATCTTCACATCAGCAACCGGTTGATCACAGCTTCTACGCTAAGTGTATTTGACAAGCTGAATTCAGACACTCCATTCATAAGAGTGTCAGTTTGTCAAATACCCCAAGTGCAGAGCTGACCAGCAACTAGACCGGCGCACGACTTCAAGAAAAAAACACTGCTACCTTAGTGTGATCACCTGCAAATATACAAATACATAACCCCATAGTCTGACATAGAACTCTGTGAATTGAATGTGATATGTGTTATCCTGGATCTTAGGTAAGAATCATTTTTAAATCTGAATCCTGTACTCCCATCTGTAGAGTGAGTTTAGATGATATCAAAGTGTTTTGGGTCCTTACACATTTTATGTATAAGTATATCACGTCAATGTCAAAAGTTTTCGCTACATTAAGGATATCAAAATGAAAGAATAAACCAAAGATTTATCTGAATTCTCTGACTGCCCTTCATTTGCTTTGCTTGTATGAGTGCTCGAAATCCACAGCACAACTCTTACATCCCAGGTCTTTATCTATCTCACAGGTGAGACTTCACTCCCATCTGGTCTCTTTTTGCCTGTCACAACCTTTCTTCTTTTTCTCTCATTTATTTTTTCGTCCACAAAATATACAGTTAATTCACTTTACAGTATATCCTGAGAAGCGCTTTGAGACGTCCCGAAGAGGTGATAAGACCCTATATCAAATGCAAGGATATTAGTATTATTACTATTATTTCCATGAGTAACAATAAAGCTGCTTCATGACTGGCGATCAGAAGGAAGAGACTAAGTGAGGGCAAGATGTACAATGTTACTTTATTCCCCCTTCCCCCCACACACAAACACACACATACAAACACACACGCGAACACATACGAGATACAAGCCCTGGCGTCCACGTGACATTCAATTCAGATTCTTGAACAAAAATACCCCTCCCCAAACGTCTCGGCTTCCACCCTCAGCTCAGGATCATCAAGAGTTTTGGGATCTCCCCACGTGAAAGCCACTCTATAAATGCTATCAGATCAATTGATGCTTCATGTATCCACTAGCACTGCGTGCTCCAATACTTCTGAACCAAAATACATGCACCACAATCATCTGAGTATAACTGATACATCAATATATCTTTACGAGGCTGTTAGTGTCAATTACTTATCGTCATTGTGAAAAAAAACTCCACAGATCTCCACGTGACTGAATGTGATGAGACATCCCATAGCTTTGTGTTTGCCCTCATCCGAACAGGAAGCTTTTTCAGAAGCACACACAACACAAGCCATAATTTCTATCTTAACAAGTCGACAGAGTTTGAATATATTTCAGAGCAAAACTGAGTCACAAAAAGTTAAACTCCCTGCAAGTGGAACAAAATAAAAGCACACAACATGCATGCTGTGAAGAGGGGCGTATAACAAGGAAGCTTTTAATGTTAAGAAAACTCGCTATTTGAAAAAGAAAATAATTAAATTTAGCTCCAACGTGTTAAATGAATAATACGCAACTACAGCAGCAGTGCGTGAAGCACTGGTCTGCACACTTCAACTGCCATTTGTCACTTGTGTGGGTGGTTTTAATCCCTTAACATCTGAGGTTAGTTGAAGAAACAGCCACGAAACAGCCTGACTTCACTAAGCTGTCAGAAGGCCTTATCTTCACAGTTCAGCCCCATGGTACAGTAATTCTTTCAGCGAGTGGGAGAGTTTGGGTCATTTTGAAGTTAGTTTAAAGAATCTGAAACTTAATTTAAAGTTCAAAACTACAACTTAAGACTTCCAAAGCTGTTCTGCCCACCAGACGTACACATTGGGACAATCTTTATATGGGAAACATGGCATTTGAAGATTACTTGCTTTTAATATAATCTAGAGAATCGGCTGTTCCCCAACAGTTATACACGTCTTCAGTCTTTCACCAAATAAAGTAGGATTTTTTTTGGGTTGGCCGGCTGTCTGACATATGGGGAAACCATATGCTTATGAGTTTTCAAACCAGAGAATCCAAATCGGAGTTTCCACATATTGCCTGCCACCCACCATAGAAATTTCCACATGTCTGGAATGGAATGCACAAGGTCTTGTCACAGGTTAGGTGAGAGACAATACTTAATGCTGTATCCTCATTGTAAACGGTGTGTAAGCTAACGAGCCAGGCGGCAATTTAGCTGAAAGCAAAATAACATTCTTTAGCAAGTGAAGAGTGCAAACTGCTGTAATGGTGTCTGTGAAAGGAGAAGCTGTGGGTTTTCACAATCAGACAGCAGAACTCCAGCCTCACGCATGTGCAGCAGAAATTGAGAAATGCTTGCACATTTCCTGAACATTTTAGCGAAAACCATTCGCACATTTCTTCACAGTGCTGGAAATTGTCCCAGGTTTTGTGCAATTTCTTCAACTGTTCACATTTGTGGTGAAGATGTGAATCGTAGCTGTTTTGCTTTTGGCGCAGGACAAATGCAGAATGATGCATTGTTAGCGTTAGCAATAAAATATCTGAATAACAAGATGAATAAGCAAACTAATTCCTTCACCACCGGCAACTCACACCGAATAAAATCCTGTGAAGATGTTCCAACTAAATGCAAATAACAGCTCTTTAAATGTGCAAAGCAACAGAAGTGTCTCTGAGGTAGGTAAACGCACCACAGTGTGATGCTGAGCCCTGAAGACCAGCAAGGTCCTATGTTTCCTAAGCAAATTGGGAAGTTAAAAAAAAATGTCCCTGGGGCTTGTGTGGGAACCATTCAAGTTCTCAATTGCTAACCCTGCTTCTGCAAAATGTTGGCTGAAGATACTTCGAATGAAAACCTGAGAGCGATTGATGACCAGCCACGGAACAATAATGCAGCACGATTCACTATCGTCAAGAAAGGAAGAGAAATAAAATCAGCGAGATGGGAAGGTGGGGCGAGGGGTGGGGGCACATCCTTCACATTCCCAACCATATTCTCCAGAAACTGCACAAATCCATGAAGCGTTATCTATCAGCTCGCTTCTCCAATAAAGTTACATTCAACCTAGTCATTTTGTAAGTCAGGTCTTATAAAATGGCTAGGTTGAATGTAATTTTATTCGTCATTGAGTTGTGCTGATGGAAATGTTTGCTCACAAAGCCCTCGACTTCTAAGAGATTGCACAGAATCAGCGGCCAGCACGCAATTAGAACATTTCTTTCCATCAGAACACGATCAGGGCCTTTTATCTGGGGAGAGATTTCACTCAACACAATTGCTCGATACTGTTTGTTTATCTAATTGAAGTACATTATGGTTTAGGCACTTTTGTGGTAATAAAATACTTAGTAAGAGTCAGTGTCTCCACTTACGGAAAGAGAGGAGCGGGGAGGGGGTTAAGGGGGAGGAGGAAAATATTACAAGAGGACAATAAAATTTGGAACACTCTTTTGTGCACCTCTTCACAAGAGCAAAGAAACGGGAACAAAAGAATAAAACATTTTCAAACTGCATCCCTCCCACCCCCCAAATCAAATATTTTCGTGTTAAGATAATAAAATAATAGTATAATAATAATCCTTGCGTTTGATGTAGCGGCTAATCATGTCTTCAAGATGTCTCAAAGCGCTTCACAGAATCTATTGTAAAGTGTATTGATTGTGTATTTTGGGTGGGCAAAATGCAGCAGCCAATTGCGCGCAGCCATGTCCCACAAATAGTCGTGGATTGAATGACCACTTTTTTTGAGGGATTATTACCCCCGTAAAGCCAATCAGCTAACAACCAGGTTCAGACTTACTGCTAGGTAAACAGAGGCGTGTGGAGTAAGGAAACTTGCCTAAGGTTTCGCCCCTGTCCAGGAATCGAACCTGGGTCCTCTCGCTTATGAGGCGAGCGCTCTCACCACTGAGCTACAAGACCACAAAATTAGGTGGTACCCGATGGCCGAAGGCAGAAAGTTCAGCCCTTGAACGTGTGGATCTTCAAGCGTAGAATGCAAGCCAAGCCTGATCTGTTTGACTAAGACAAGATTTGTTTTATCGCTGGGACCCAGACATTTTGCTTATAAAACCAGCCTGACATCTGCCCTGCTCATCCATTCCCTCCAGTCTCGGAGCCAGGATCCAGCAGAGGAGAGGTTGGAACAATTTGTTCAGCGTTTCAGTTTACTTTCAGAGAGAGACAGAAATAAATAAAACAGTGTATCTGAGGACAGATCACACTTGACACAGACTTCTTTGATGCTCAAGTTCATCTGGAAAAAAAGATGGCATTAAGATTTTGGTTTCTATCATTTGAAGGATAAGATACACACTGTGAGTGTAACAAACTCCTCTACAATTTTTATTATGTTTTTCTCTACATTGACTCAACTGTTGCGAGTTGGTGAGGCAGTCAACAGAAATGCACCAAAAGCAAAACTAAGGTAAACAGGAAATAACTTCATTCGAATGGTCTGGCGACGCGAACTCGACAATGCAATAAGGCGTTATATCAAATGAATATTAATTATGATTAGGATTGATAATAATCCTTGTAATGGATATAGGGCCTTATCATGTTGTTGAGACATCTCTGTTTTTAGAGAGTTCGATTCATCAAAGATCACATTTCAGCTAGAACTTTGCGTTGCCTTATCTGATCGAAGACTGAAGAAGAACATCATGCTTGTTAGAAGAGGGTAAATGACACTTACAGCTGTGTGCGTGCACAGAACCTGCTGGTGAATTTCTTTGCCGTTTGCTACTCACGTTTGAAGTAAATGATTTCCTGTGTGAATTACTGTCATTCCGAGCAGTGGAACTGGTGATCTCTTTTGGCAGGGGAGGCGATCAGAGTTTGCCTAACCAAGGTACCTGGTTATCACGGCAAGGGGCCCTTTATCCATGAGCTAGTCATTTCTCCTCCCTCACCCAGCCCCGCTCACTCACTGGTTTCAATTCCACTGGCCACAAGTCAAATCTCACTCTCTCGCCAGGCCTACCCGCGCTGGTCTCACAAGGCTCCATTCTGAGCCTGATTCTGTGATGGTTCACTGTATAGGCATTGTATATAGGCTTCTGAGGGAAGCAATGCTAACATGTTTTGAGAAAGCCACCACTGAAATAAATGTTACGCTAATCGGAACTTAAATAGTTGCAAAGAAAGCAATCGACAGGATTTTATAAATATTGGGGTAAAACATGCAATGTATTACTTGATAGTCACCACCGTTGTCCACACCATCAAAAATCCCACCTGTTGACGTCTCTGTTGATACCTGGCTCAGTTGAATGCCCCCTCCCCACCCAACCCCTCAAGTATGTCACAATGATTTAATTCCCCCAAAATATCTCATCAGATAAACGGTCCCCTTAATGCTTTCCTTTTACTTTGAAAGGAAAAAACATTTTATTTATAATTCTCAAATACAGAAACGAAAACAGACAGAACATTAGTAACAAGGATATTATTACAAGATCCACTAATCGGAGTCAAAAGGAATTATTGCACATGGAGAAATGTATGAAAAGTCACAGACTTCCAAAGTTAGAATATGAACTCATATACAATTAAAGATTATAACTGATCAATAAACCCATTTAGGGGAAGTTACAGGTTGTGATTTCATTAAAAAAAAGCAGAAGCTCAAAATACTACGAATAGTTACAAAAGGCATTTTTTTCATACATTGATATGTGAAGAGGCCAGATCCAATGCTGAGACAGAGGCAAAGAGAGAAAGAAACAAGGGGGTAAATAGCGGGATGAATGGAGGACTGCTGAACACACCACTTAACTTAGTTGTTGCAGTGAACAAATTTGATACTAAATGCTGAAACACCTTAGTTTGCTACTCAATTTAGAATGTGAGATGGTAAATATTAATAATGTGAGGAAGCCTCCTATGTGATTAGGGAGATGAACAATCATTCTCAGTACCAGAGAGGCATGTCCTAATAGCTCATTTCTGCTATCTGTCCAAAGCAGTGTTACTCACAACTTCCCCTTCCAACAGAATGGGGCTTCAGCAAAAAGGGATGTGTGGTGGACTGCTGATCCAGATAGCTATATTTGGAGTGCATGTTGGAGGTTGAGTAATGCAGAACAACCGTTTTCTTTTGCTTCAAACCAAACTCTTTCAAGTATCAAGTGAAATAAGTTTGAGAGAGAAGAAAGTTCGAATCCCCAGCAAATCAGCCCTGGGTTTGTTTGTATGAGATAAGATCAAAGACCTGAAATTCACTTTACTGGTTATGAAGTACCCCCAGCTTCATTCTCATTACACCGTGTCTTCTATAATACAAGGATAATGTTTCTAGCAGTGCCATTACTGTTTACTCAGTGATCTCTAGAACTGTTCAAAAGTTCAATAACCTGCATAAAAAACATTAAGAATCTGCTTGTTTGCATTTCGAATATTCTGACTCACAACACTGTATTCCCCTACTTCACAATAACATTTACAGATGAGTTTATTTTCTCAAAGACACGCTCACACCCTCTCCAAGGTTTCAGGGTCTGTAAACCTATCAATAACTCTTGAAAACGTTTCCAGATTTTTTTTAAGGCACCTTGTGACACGTGAACGCTTTTGCTCTTAACTCAATTTATTTATACAGCACTGCTTCCTTCAGAAGATGCTGTAGACGAGGCTGGTTGGGATCAGATGCACTTCTTTGTCAGTAATCGCTTTGTAGACTGGTGTAGACTGTTTCTAGTGAAACAAGATAATTCTTAGCACTCAACATGCAACTAACAAAGATACCTTTTTGAGAAACTATAACTAAAGAACATGGACTTCCTAATTTGACCTGAAGTAGCTTTATCTTTACCCATTGCTTTCCTTGTTTAAGGCTCACCACAAATGCAATACTGCCGGTGGCGGTTGCACTTGTTCTTTTAAATTGCTGTCAAGTTATACAAAGGAATCTAAATGCATTACAAATTAAGTATAAAGGATTCATACGTTACTCAGATTCCATCTCACAGAAAAGCACCACAAACTCAAGACTTGTAAACCTTAAAAACCATTAAGTGAAAATATTTTTAAACTATACTCAACTTCATTCACTTGTTTGACAATTTGGCACTGAGTTGGTTTTGTCGTCAGCCAGAGGTCACAGGATGGCTGGTATAGGAAGTGAAAATGGTGTAGATTGGGCCTGAGGCACATTACAGCAGAACAGAGGGAAATTTACTCTATAACTAATCAGGTAATACCAGAGGGAAATTTACTCTATAACTAATCCCTACGACTGCTTGAGGCTGACACTGGGTTCCTCAAATAGGAACATATTCTGTTCCCAAGCACTCTGTTTGATAAGGACAAATTTAAAAATAAAAGGTAAACAAGTATTCCAATAACGTCAATCACCCAAATGGCCATTTAAATAGAATAAAATGATCGTACGAGAAAAAAATTAACCCATTGTTTTTTTGTTTCAAGTCTGGCATAACTACTGAGTGTTGCCCTCAGTCCTACCACTTCAGATGCAGTGACCTGTTCCTAGTTTTTTTTAATTAAAGTGCACTTTGATGCTCATTCCTCAAAATCATGAATACAAGGAAGCAAGAGCCTGAGAAACACAGAAGTAAAAATGCAGTTACATAAAACAGTTTCAATTTACAGACCTCAAATGCCAAGGTGGATTGAAATTATGCCATCTGGGTGGGTAGAGGTCAGAGGCCCTTTACAGGCAAGTGGCCTGTCGACATTCACTGCCAAGGTTCACACGTGAACCTGTATGAACATTGTGGAACTGAACTATATAGATCTGGTCATATCAAGATTTGGTTTGGTTCCACCATCCATGCTAAGTCAGCTATTAGCTAAGGAATGGCAGTCACTAAACTGGTGAATGACAGTCCAGTAGTGGATATAATTTGCACCGATATAAGATTAAAATTTCATAAGGCATTTGATAACGTTACACGTGTGAAATCTTTAAAGAAAAGTAAAGATCACGGAATGAAGCAAAAATGACTTAGTTGGATTGAAAGACGGTTGATCAATGCGATCCAAAAGATGATGTCAAATGAAAAAAACTCAGATGAGAGATGGGGATTAAAAGACTCACTCAGCCACCTGTTTCCCTACTATTCACACACACACACACACACAGATCCACCCACCCCATAAATGAATTGTAGAAGAGTATAGCTTCTAATACAAAATTCAGAGCTGATATGAAGCCATGTGGATAGGTAAATATTATTAAGCTAAACCACATTCAAGGCCTGATCGATAATGCAGATCAGCAAAATAAGTGGCAGATGGATTATAATGTACGTGAATGTAAATTAATGCATAATCACATGAGGCGTAGATCAACTCTACTGTAGCTCAGACTTAGCAGAAGTCAAAGCAACCACACCACCGTATTTGCAATTTTTTGTTTTTTTTTCTTGAATTACGTATTGAATGAACGAGTTTCTGTTAAAATTGCAAAATATATTTTTTTTGTTAAGACTTGAAACTAGAATATTTTCCAATATCAAGACTGAAGCCAAATGTAGCATCTCAGTGACTTAGGTCAACTGATGTAACACACACACACACACCTAGCAATTCAAACCTGCAATTTTCCAATGTGTGTGTATAGCTAGTGCTGCGCAGGGCAAAGCCTTCAGTCACAAGGTCACATAAGACCTTCATTCCACTGAAATATACAATTCTTCCATTTCTCTGGGATAAGCCCCTGACATCATTGCATATTCGTTCTCATTGGTTTTGTTCATCACCTCGTACTCGTGACTGGCTTCAACCTCTTCGCTGCTCGGAGCGAAAACCTGGGGGAAGTTTTCGTACGTGACACTGAGGATCAAAAAAAGAAAAGGTCCCAATGAGTTGTGGCAACAATTGAAAAGGATGCAGGGATGGATCGGTTGTTGCTAACATTTCGCCCACAAATTACCAGTCAATTCACTTCACAGTATAATCTGTGAGGCTCTTTCAGAGTGAGAAAGCTCTATATCAAATGCAAGGATTATTATTATAATAATCCTAAGTCTATGTTCATTTGCCACATGAACATGCAGGACATTGCAATTTTCACAGTGAAAACTGGAACAATTTGGTTGAGTTTGTGATGTGCTCTAACCACTTGCAGTTGCACACTTGCTAAATATCTACTTACTCGTTCCACTTTACTTCCATTCTGCACTAGTTATTAAAACATTTTCACCTTAAATCAGTATATTATCTCTACGAGTTCAGTTTTATGTGAACTGGAATCTGCATCTGTGTCAAATTTCACCTCTTTGACCAGCCTTACAATAATTTTTTTTTGTCTACAGTCTGTGGAAGGTTACTTTGACTGCTATGCAAAGTACAGTGCTGTTAAAAGCAAATGTAGATCACATTTGCTGCTGCATTTTATTATAGGGAAAGGGCAGGGAGGTGGGAGGATATGCCTAGCTCTTTCAGAGTGCACAAACATGATAATAATTAATAATAATCCTTGCATTTGATATAGCACCTTATCACATTTCTAGACATCTCAAAGCACTTCACAGACTGTAAAGTGAATTGACTGAATATTTGTGGGCAAAACGCAGCAGCCAAACAGTTGTGGATTGAGCGACCAAATTATTATCATTTTTTTTAAAGGATTATTATCCCCGGAAAAGTGATCCGCCAATCGACTAACAACCGGGTTCCTACTCATTGCTAGGTAAGCAGAGGTGTGTGGTGTAAGGAAACCTGCCCAACATTTCGTCCTGCCAGGAATCGAACCCAGATCTCTCGCTTGCGAGGCAAGTGCTCCAACCACTGAGCTACAGGATTCCACATGGGTTGAGTGACCTCCTTGGACACTGTAAAATTCTTAGTACAGTTTTACACTTTTTAGTCCTGCAGAGCTAAGGCCTGGAAGGAGAGGCTATTAAAACAATTAACATCTGTATCTTACAGAAAATGCCAAGCCTCCAACAACAGATTACATTTGTATAGCGCCTTTCACATCGGGAGAAAAGCAGGAAATAAATGTGAACCTACCTTTGTGATTGGTGCATGTTCTCTGGAAAAAAAGGCCTGGAAGGAGAGGGTATTAAAACAATTAACATCTGTATCTTACGGAAAATGCCAAGCCTCCAACAACAACAACAAATTACATTTGTATAGCACCTTTCACATCGGAAAAAAAGCAGGAAATAAATGTGCACCTACCTTTGTGATTGGTGCATGTTCCCTGGGGAAAGAAGAACAAAGGCATGATTAGAATATAAAGGTCAAACTCTTTGTAGAAAATGCTCAATTGTTAAGAAACAGGGAGTCCTTCCTACTTTGTCATATCAAGTCTCTTCCCTTAAGAGTTTTCCCTGGAGAAATCTTTTTTTCGGGGGGGGGGGGGGGAGAGAAGTGGAGAGGTTGGGGCTGTAATCATCTCACCCAAAAGGAATTATTTTCCAAGTGAGCTGCAGTCTTACCTCTCTTCTTTGATTGGAGAATGACAGTGAGAACGATAATAGCACAAAATACTAGAATCAAGATGATCGACAGCACAAATACCCAGAGCGCAATTTCTGTCCTGCTGGATTCTAGGAAAATAGACAGGGAAACAGATTCACAATTGATAATAGTTTCACATCAGTAGGACGGCTCAAAGCACTTAACAGCATATAGGGTAAAGTGTTATGACGGTGTATTTGGTAGAACACAACAGCTAATCTGCACACAGAAACACCCATTAAGTAAATGAACAATTTGTATTTGGGGGATTGTTGGCCAGGACGCCAGGAAAAACTCCGTTCACTTTTTAAATAGCGCGAGTTCAGATGGGCAAGTGGCTCGGAACATGAACATATGATGTTTATTCTCTTCAAGATTAGAATTGAGGTCTCCTCCCAACTGTTTCTCTGCATTTCAGGGAATCAAAGTTCTCTCTCCGCAGTAGGAGAGAGAGAGGGAAGGAATCATTTAACTTCTGATCACGAAATGAGTAAGCCAGTGCTGCCCTCTGTTGTTCTAGATTTCACTCTACAGAGCAGCTTCCACTCTCTCAGAATAGCTATCGCAAGTTTATTAGATCCTTTCTTGTAACAAGAATTGAACGCCTGCTGCCATTAATTTCTGCAAGTGAGCACAAAAGTGCTTGACTACAACAACATCATCAACAACAACAAGGTACATTCATATAGCACCAGGAGTTCGTCTCTAATAATAATAGTAATAATAATAATCATCCTTGTATTTGATACAGCGCCTTATCACGTCTTCGAGACATCTCAAAACACTTCACAAAATAAGCTGTGAAGTGAATTGACTGTCACTAAGTGTCTAACTCTGTAAAAGCAAAGTGAGTTTCCACTTCCTCTGGAGATGATCAACAGTAATAGGCTTGAGGGTCAACATGGTTTTGTAATTTCAAGAAGACATAATTATACTTATACATACTTATAGTTATACTTCCTCCCCTTTGTTTCCTCTTTTCTGACATGACGAACATTGGAGTTGAGAGGGCAACAGGCACTTGTCATCCAATCTTCAACATCCCCGCTAGAGGATGCTCAGCAACAGCTGATTGCCAGCTATACCTGGCTTTCTCAACACCTCCCCCAGGGTTGCAATCACATGTGTGAACTCAGTGTAGTGGAGAAATAACACCTCAACGCTCAGTTCTATATGCCGGGGGTTCTAATACACGTTCCTCACACAGAACTCACCATTTGAAATATGCAGAGCGTTTCGAGGTGCTACCCTGTGTGAAAGGCACTACGTAAAGGCAAGTTGTTGTTGTAAAGTGTTTCAGTTTTAATGTGACTGAAATGTGACTGAAATTCGATTTTGAGAATTCTCAACCTATCAGCATCATAGGGGCTCCGCTCAGGAGGGAGAAGTTTTTAACATGTTATTCTATCATGTAAGTCTATCGATATAGGTAAATGTTATTCAATCTGAACAACAAGGCGCAATATGATCTGTTCTTATCCCCCGAACAACTAAAAAAAATTCTACATCGTATAGAAAAAAAAATCCGTCAACAAACAGAAAGTGCCAGCTATTCAAAGAGTTAATAATGGTCTGAGGAACTGCTGTAATATTCCTGATCTTATCAAATACCCCGTCCCTAGACTTTAAATGAAGTTCTGTGAAAGCGCTTTGAGTCCTCTCGATGATGTGACAAGGTGCTTCAGGATATCAAAGAGCTGTATATCAAAGGCAAGGGTTATTATATTATTATACGGTATTGACTTGACTCTGGCCCGCAGCACCTTTGGACATCCCCCCGACATGAAAGGCATGGTATAAAGGCAATTTGTTGTTGTTGCTGTTTAAGCACCTCTAATCATTCATCTCATCTTCAGAAAAAAAAAGATCTAATTAAATGCCCAAAGTTTCTGGACCGGACGAAAAGTCTATGTTTGTGTAAAACAAAATCTGCTAACCACCTTCATGTTTTTCACCAGAGGCTGATGGCAGCTGAGAATCTGGCCACTCTTCAGCGGAGCCTTCAAAAGGTGCAGAGGGCTCAGTCACTGTGGAGAGATTTAAGTCCAGTTATCCCAGATCCTGAACCAAACATTTTTCATCTGTTAAGGGTCCACTAAATTTAGACCCTCCTCCTACTGTTCCCCCACTGCTCTCAATGTTCCACCAGTCTGGGATGCTACCCTGCATGAGGGACATTATATAAATGCAAGTTCTTGTTGTTGTAATGAGTGTGTACAGGAAGCCCGCTAATCAGCGCTGGACATGCATCTCACTTTCAGCAACTGTAGGTCTAAGTGACACGAGTGATATAAGGGATCTCGGACTCTACAGAAGAACCTTACAACTTAGTCGTCCTGTGACACAACCTGATCTGTGTCAATATGGCTTTGCTTGTTGGTGTTGTTGTTGCAATCCATGATGGCGAGAAACCGTAACCAGTGGAAATAGATACTGAATAATCTGAATGGCTTGATCTCTTGCTCGTAAATAAATCAAGTGCCATTTACTGCAGATGTAAATCAAATGTTAACAACAACAACTTGCATTTACATGATGCCCTTCATGCCGGATGGTGTCTCGGAGTGCTTAACAATGGCAGAGCCCGATGCCGAGCTTGGGGAGGGGGAAGGTGACTGTAGGCACAGTTGAAGAGGAAGGTTGATCATTAGAATCTTACCTGAGGTGGACATGACACTCATCATAGTGGGTTGAATTGCTGTGAGGATGGGAGGAGGAAAACAATGAAATAAATTACTTAAAATATTGACATCTTGCACGGGCAATTCACAATGCAAGGAAAATTGTCAAAACTGGGATAAGCTCCAAACTGGATGCACAATTGATTCAGTTGTGATCCAAATTCCTGATTCGGGTTCACATGTAAAATTTCCACTCAGTGCAGAATGCGGGTAAAATTAGGGGTCTTTCTAAAGAAAGTTACAGGGAAATTAAATGCATATTCAATACCAAACAAGCAGTTAGAAAGTGACATTAACAAAGCGGAAGGATCGACTCCAAACTCAAGTCCTCTCATTTCAATCTTGGGAGGAAAATGTTCCAAATTAAGGTAAACTTTCAAATTCACCTGGAAAATTTCCATCATCCCATGTCAGTTTTATACCTCCAAACTTTGGCTCTTGCCAACCTGTGACTAACGCTTTCTGGAATTATGTGAAGCGGGGTGCAGCCCTCCAGGGAGAGTGGGTACATTCCATTCCAGATACAAGAAAATGGGCGGCGTGCACACGGGAAACTCTCAGTCCGGCCTGGATACTCTTCAGCATGGTGATAAGTGGGTTTCCACATGTGTTGGATGCCCGGCTGACAACAGAAAGGTGTCGACAGACTAAGCCAAATCAGGACACCTCAACCGTCCTTGCAGCTTTTGAGAATTACAGGTCGGACGAAAGGAAGAGAACATCAGTACGCGTTTAATTGTGCCACATATGAAGAATGAGAAGGGATTGACTTACATCTTTTCACAAATAAAGTGATGTCGACTGATTCTTTGATGACCTTTCTGTGAAATAGTTCATAAAAGTGCCGAAATGTCACCTCACAAGTGTAGGTTCCCATGTCACTGTACTGCAGGTTTTCAAGGGTGAGTGAGACATTACCAGACCTAGGTTTACTGTTTATACTCAATTTTTTCTGGTTGAATGAAGGGAAAGTGTGCACCTCTGATGCATTTCTGTGTAGAATAGGGCCGTGTTTCCCGAAGTACCAGGTAACTTGTTTTTCAGTGTAAAAATGGGATGCTTTATAACTACATGGTAGGATAATCGATTTTCTCAACTGTCCTGTAACCTCCTGGGGAGCAAAGAGATGGGCCGAATCACCTGTAAAACAGATTAACTTTGTGTGATTCAGTGCTTGCTTCATTCACCATGACATTTAAATTAGAAACCTACCTAACGTAGGATAATTACTATAATAATATAAATGAAATAATAAATGAAATTGACAATAACCAACTAAATTTACTTCATGGCTGTTTGTGGTACATTGCTGTGTACAATTGGCTACTGTGCTTGCCTACAAAAAAACACATTCAATACACTTTACAGTATTGTATATTCTCCTGACATGAAAGGCACAATATTAAATATCAACAACTTGCATTTATATAGCACAGGATAGCATCTCGGGGCGCTTACATTTACGTATTATTGTTATTTACATGCTGATTCAGTACTAGTTCCAGTGCAGACAGAAGAAATATGCAGCTACAATGAACAATTTGTTCCACACAACCAGAAAGAACAGATAATGCCTGTTATCAATGTCATCTTAATACCAGACTTTTAAGCAGTGTGTTACTGTGTCTGGAAATACTTTTTATCAATTTTTGTCTTAATATTTTGCCCACAAAATATACAGTCAATTCACTTTACAGTATATCCTGTGAAGCGCTTTGAGATGTCTCGAAGACGTGATAAGGTGCTATATCAAATGCAAGGATTATTATTAATATGAGTATCGCATTATCAAGTGCTAGAATACATTGTCTTTCAAGGACTACAGGAATTTTTCAAAGATCAGTACTCATTGCGTTGTATTTGTACCAAATGGTATGAAGTAGAGGAACTATCAGGGACTGCAATAAACTGCCCCCAAAAAAATCACAGCAATGACAACATTCTGTAAGGGGAAGAATAACATTCGTCAAAACCTCAACCCATTTTTGTTCCCCGCAAGGTTTCTAGCTTCAGTTGTGATAAATATGCACGTGGCTGGACACTGCTTTCATTCTATGTACTGGAATTGAAATTATCAAAGAGGAAAAGGAACAAGACGACATAAATAAAACGCAAAATCCTGCAGACAAAAGTCGCTAGGAACACTCGGCAGGTCAGGCAGCATAGCATCTACGGAGAAAGGAAGGTGAGTCAACCTTTCAGGTCCACGACCCTTCGTCAAGACGGCATAAAATTGTACATGTCAAAAGCATGGTCTCTGAAATTAGTCCAACTGATAATGTCACAAGTACTTCTGATTCCAATGAGCCACAGAATTGCTTTATTACTCTTCTACGGAACACAACATTGAACTTTTAATGTGCCATAACCAATAGCTATGCAATCAGATGTAACCGTAAGATGAACAAGCAGTAACAATGATGTCTCATTTGAAACAAAGTACATTTGCCGGTTGTGACATTCTGATTATCTTCCAGTACAGCCCGTGACTTGCAAAGGAACATTCAAATTGGAGTGAAGAAATTGCGACCTCAGAGATGAGCTAAAGTTTTTTCTAGATCTGTTGTCCACGTCAACATTCATAATACGGATTTTTTTTAAAAAAACGCAAAAGCTTGAAATCTAAATGGAAAACCACAACATGGAAATGTGACCAACTCATCTGTAAATAATCCAATTGAGACCAAATTCCACTCTTCAAAAACCAAATACCGTAGCTTATTCTGACCGATCAACTCACTAATTTCAAACATTGTTAATCATCATTATTATTAATAGCAACGATGAGATTGATGGAACACAGGAAGGATGAATCCAAACTTAATTAGGGCAGAGTTGTAGCATAAGAAAGAATACCCAAGAGGGGAATTAAGAATTGGTGTAAGATCAGGAATCTTAACGACCACAGTGAAACCTGGAAAGAATGGACTCAATGAAACAAAACGTTGACACAGAATTGACCAATATTGATGTACACTGATTCAGCTTCAACCACTGCAATTGTATCAGAACGGCAGTGTGACAGATATAATAGTTTATTAATGGTGATTTTTATTTTATTGCAACATTACTAGAAGTAGCAGAACAAAAGTAAAGGTTTATATTTGTAAACATATTGTGATATAGGCAATAACAGCCAATTTCAGAAAGCAATATAGATAAAGTTTTAACACTCACCGAAATTCAGTCCTAAAATGAAAAATAAAATAGGACAAACTTGCTTCTCCATGATATGGCTTTGTGTGTATGGCAAACGCAGTGATTATGTGAACTTCCCTGAGAATGTTGTAACAGTCTATTAGACAGGCTATATAAAAAATACTTCCTTTTTTTCCAAGACACAAAACAATGAGTCAGTAATCTGATCTTTGTGGTTCCTTCTTTGAAAGGATTTATTTTCACTTATCCTTAGAATTTTGTCAGGTCTTTATCATACACAAGGTAATTGATTAACTCATCCATTTCAAGTAAATATTATGAAACATTAAATTACTGCAACGATGCGCTTGTAATACAGCCTGAATTAGAGATGCCTACCTTGCTTGTGTCTCTGTTGGATGTATTCACCATGATAACTTCTTAGCTAGAAGTAGTTAGAAATGTGGGAGCATAACTTTATTTGAGAAGAATGAAAAATAATCTTTAATAAAAATGCAAATTGTTGTTGAATAATCAAATAATCTTAATTCCATACTTTGCAATTGTCTCTAGATAACCAGCACACTGGTAACCCTCCATTTTCTACGCCATCTGCTATATATCAACGCTTTGGTCTGTAAAATCTGCGTTAATGTCAGAAACTCAGATTTTTTCACTTTTTGTGTGAATGAAACACAACCATGCCATGATTTGCTCTGTTTTCCTTCACCTCCGCAACATCGCCCGGCTCCGCGACTGTCTCACATCGCAGGCCACCGAGATACTCATACACTCATTAATCACACCCAGACTCGACTCACCAAACTCCGTGCTTGTCGGTCTCCCCAATTCCTCCTCTATAGGCTGCAGATCATCCAGAAGTCTGCAGCCTGTGTCCTCTCCCGCACCAGGGTCCACAACCCTATCACCCCCAGCCTTGCCCCACCCCATTTGTTCCCCATCAGAGGATACAGTTCACGATTCTGGTCCTCACCTTCAAAGCCCTCCATGGCCTTGCTCCTCCCTACCTCTGTGACCCCCCCCTACCAACGGACCCGCTCCCTCTGCTCAGCGGACTCCGGCCTGTTTCATGTCCCCCACTTCATACGCCTCACCATTGGCGGGTGAGACTTCTACCACTCTGCCACCACCCTCTGGAACTCCATCCTGCAGTCCCTCCACCTCATCCCCTCCCTCCTTCAAGACCCTTTTCTTCGACCATGCCTTCAATCACCCAACTTCACCACTGCCTTCCCCCTCCACGATCCCGACCCTCAGCTCGGGTCTGAAACATCGATTGTCCAGTGCTTTGGGCTGTCCTCCCGATGTGAAAAGGCACTATGCAAATGCCATATTATTGTTATTTTGTTGTTGTTGAATAGAATAATAGGCCCATAAGGTGCGCTATTTTTGCCATTTGTGCATAGAAGCATAGAAGTGACTAACACAGATCATACTGTATTAACAATACAACAATGGATAAGCCATTTTCTCCTTAGAAAAGAACAATTCCCTTTTTTCTTAAAATAGGATTTGAGTCTTAGTTGCGCAATGTTTATAAGTGGCATAGATCAGATGACAGTGAGTAACTTGTGATGTACATTAAGATTTTGATGATATTTGTGCGACAGCCTGGTTTAGTGGTAGCATTTCATCTCCGAATCAAAGATATGGGTTCATGTCCCAAGTTGGGACTTGGAATCACATAGTCTAAATTATAATATAATAATCCTTCCCTAACATTTGATTCAATGCTTTACCACATTCTTGAGACCTCTCAAAGCACGTCACAGAATATAAAGTTAATTGAGTGTGTATTTTGTGTGAAACGCAGCTGCTAATTGCGCACAGCAGAGTCCTAGTCGTGGATTGAGTGATTTATTTATTTTGAGGGATTATTACCCCCGGAAAGTGATCTGCCAGTCAACTAACAACCATGTTCCTACTTACTCCTAGGAAAACAGAGACGTGTGGAGTAAGGAAACTTGCCTAAAGTTGCCCCAGTTAAAGATGCCTTAATTCTGCATTGAAACTTGCTTTTAGTCACCGTTTTAATCATAGGAGCAACAAATAAGGCACACACTCATGTGCATATATTTCAGTGGCTCCCCTCTACTTATTAATGGAGCAAACATGAATGATGCTGATTAACACACCTTTGCAATAGTTTATCACCTGCCAAACTCAGTAGCTCAGAAAAGCCTTTGGGATCAGCAGTAACTGAATAAGGATTAATTAATATGTACACAATGCAGAAAAATACTGCCCTGAAACTTTATTAGGCAGCTCATAGCTTGGAAACTTGGATGGAAACATTATGCATAAAATTCAAGTTCCTTACAACTTTCTTTTAAAAAAAATAACACTTTTGCTACATGACTATGAGTCATTAGTGAGCACAGGAAAAGTGCTGACAACTATACCAAAGAAAAGTCAGATAGTGTCTTGCGTCAGACTAGGTTCCTCTTCTGTGAATTTTCTTTTAGCTGGAAGTTTGACTGAAAACAAACATATTTAATGTTACAAGTGAAACGTTGGAAGTTTTTTTTTACAAATGTGTATTTTGGGTGATAAATAATAAGTGGCCAAATAAGTCACTGTGTTACAGGCATTAAAACGTCAGAGAATACAACAAACACAATTGCAAGTAAATGTAGCCATTTAAAGACTAACAAGTGCCCCAAAGACACCGGTCAGCATTAAAAGTCTTGCTATGAAATGGCTCCTTTTTTTTTAGAATTGATGGTCTGGTAAGAATGTGCAAACCGGATTAATGACTATTCACACAGAACACAAATATGAATCCAGACACCTTTATTGTTGAATTATCAGCTGTGTATATGCCAACTTATAAATCAAATGTCACTTATAACAGACTGGAACCAATGGATTTCACAATTAGCGTTTAGAAAATCCGAATTAAAAAAATGTCTACGATCTATCATTCATGCACATTCTTAGTGCAGCACAACTTACAACATTCGACACCAAGGACAAAGATTTGACCGTTTCCACTTCGCATAGGCACCACAAAAAGCTGCAAAGAGTGTACAGCGTTGCAGCTGTAACAAGTCACTGATGGAGACCAACTTCTTCATCAACATTAACTGCACTGAGAAAAGTAAATTCATCATGTGGTCAAAACAAGAGGTTCTAAACCCAATTTGGTTTTCAGCAGCAATTTTGTTCCATTTGATAAACGCCTCAGATAAAATGTGACACCAGTATTTTCCCTTTTCTTCCTAATCCCCAATTTTCTATCCTTTTCCCTTCTCTCCTGAAAGTCATGACTCAAGATGGCATACGTTTCCAGAGAGATGCCAGCAATTCTCTGGTATTTTACCCTTAGGGGCCCTTCTTCACGTCCAAGCCTCAATGATTAAATGTCAGCGGATCATTGAGAAATCAGTCAAATCCTGTCCACGTCACACCCAACATGGGACACCCAAGCACACCACCAGCAAAGGGTCACCTTGGCTGAACCTTCCATTCCCTTGTCCGGGGAGATTGAGACCAGTTCTAACACCCCTAGCCTCAATGGTTAATTTGGTGCAATGGGTTTATGAAGGGTGTCATAGAGTCTCGGAGACTGACCTGATATTTCACATCAAGTACAGCTGAAATTAGATGTTCTGGCTGACATTAGAAACATTACTCAAAATTATTATTATTCTCTGCTGAGAAGTAAAATACGAATATATACCTGGTTGATAACACAAAACAAAATAGGGGTTTGAGAATTTGTACATTCTAGTCCACTAGGCTTTTTTTAAAAAAATGCTGATAGTTAAGTCACGTGAATAATCTTCTCTAGGCAAATACATATGTAAATGATGCCCATTACAGGTTTGAAAAAAANTCCTACATTGGTAACAATAGCCTCAATTATGTTTATAGTTCTTACTATAATAATAATCCTTGCATTTGATATGTACTATGTACAAAAGTAGAATAGAAACAAATGATGGATGCATTCTAGATATCTGATATATTGAGACACATTGCAGTTACTTATTGGGTCAGTTGCCAGTCATATAAAACAAGCATTTTTAAATTGAACCCCTGTACTTTTCAATATTTCACAGACCAACCCAAAAGGTGTTGTTACAGATCTTTTTGAATACAGTCCAAATCAAATAGAAAATAATTGTGTCATTGAGCAGTTATGATCAAAAGCAATTTCAACAATATCTGAAAGTTGCTGACTTTGGGTATAATAAATAATAATCTTTGCATTTGATATAGTGCCTTTTGCGTCAGTGAGATGTCTCAAAGCGCTTCACAGCATATATTGTAAAGTGGAGTGACTGTGTATTTTGTGGCCGAAATAGCCTCAAATAGCTTACCATTATAGGGTCCATGATTATTATTATTGCCTTTGGTGGGAGTCATACCATTTTCAGCAAATTATAAATGAAAACAACTTGCCTTTATACAGTGCCTTTCATGCGGGATAGCTTCTCGGAGCTATGTTAAAATAACTATTTTCTGTTCAGGTGAGTTAAGTCTTCCATTCATTTCAATGGAAAGAAGTGATGCCATTTCAAAAGACAGTTACCACAGATTTTTTGACTGTTTTTGGTTCTGCAAGTATTAATATTTGCAAGACCTTTGTGCGATTTAGCATTCAGTTGCGTTCTGTCCTGTCATCGTTGCTGGCAGTCGGAACCGCTGCCTGCACCATAATTCTCACTTTTTCTAAAACAAATGTGTTGTAGGATGAAAAATTAAAACAGGTGATACTTTCATGATATTATATTGCAATTATGTGCGACACGAAAGGAGGCCACTAACTCAACTTAAAATACTAGAAAAATATTTTAAAAATGTTTTACAGCAGGCAAAAGTATAGCCCATGTCCTCAGTCATTTTGTAAATACTCCACATTGAGTACTTATTAAAATGGTAACTTCTCACAAGGGTGAAATTCCTGTCGCTTCATCATTCTCCTTTTCCAGATGTTCAACCGGTGTCAATCCAAACAAAGGGAGTAAAGCATAATCTCCATTCACGATTTCCGGTGAGAGATCAAAGTCATAAGGTCCCGTGAAGGGCACAGGTGCTTCTACGTTTGGCTGTGAAGATGATGCCACAGAGGAATCCTGTACTAATGTAACAAAGGATGGGGTTTTCTCTTCAGAAATATGAGGAACATCTTTGGGGATTGTCAATTTGTCTTCAAATGAAGATAGTTCTTCCAATTTGGTAAGTATTGGGTTTCCGACATATTGGATCAGTTGCTTGGCTGTGGAGGGGGGGGGGGGGGGGGGCAAATAACAGATCATAAACAAAATGCACCATAACTTCAAGATTTCGCCCCAGATATTTCGCTTACAATAACAATCTTTCACGTCAGGACTTCTCGAAGTGCTTCACAGAATATACAGTAAAGTGTAGTGACTAGTTCTGCAGGCGAATGCAGCAGCCCACAAATACAAAACTATCACAAATCAGCATTACAAGTCGAGTTGTTCTTGTATTATTCATATCAATGGATATCTTGACATAAGTGCCACAAATTGTAAGAGAAATTGGGGAGATTTATCACTACAGAATACTCTTTAGTTTCTTAAATTGATCCACAAACATCAGCCAAGACTATGTGAAATCAAAGTCCCGACATGAGCTTGACAATGGAAGCAATGACAGTGCCAAACAAGTCTCAATTTTAATACTTTATACCAACCTTCACTTGGATCCTTTTCATTTTTAGCCACCTCTTCACATGCTGCTAATTTACTGGTGCTTTCAACTAACTCTTCAAGCTAGGATAAGAGGCAGAAATTTTTTTTTCAACACGTATAATACAATTTAAAATATAAAGAGAACATATCGGGAAGCACTTCCACTCCCCAGCATAAAGGGCACTATATAAATGCAAGCTGTTGCTGTATACTTACAGTTGCTGTGCTGGGAGTAGTATCTGGCAGGTCAACAGTTGAAGCAGGTAGATCAGAACCGAAGAGCTAAAAAAAATTCAACAGGTTAGAAAGGTGGAGTGAAAAGGGGAGAGAAGTTTTACATATATAAAATATATATATATACACATATATATATATATACACAAAAACTTACTTCACTGATAAAATCGCTGTCAATATTGTACTGCTTCTGTGACAAAAGTGCTTGGAGCTCTTCTAGGCTCAAATCGATGCAGTCCAGAAAATCCTGAATTTCACTTCTGTTGTATTATTTACAAAGAAAGAAAAAAATGATGTAGGTCATTAATTAGACATCACATTCCATACAAGTTTTGGCTTGGTGATTTATGGAATGCAGACTATTGAGAACCACTCAACAACTGAATTCTACTTTGGGGCAGGACTGAATAAGCTATGTTGACTGCCACAGGGGTGATTTTGTTTCTGGCGAACCACAATGCCTGCGTGGATTCGATTTATATGGCACAATTTACTCTTTTTTTATTTCACAACATTTCCGAATGTACTCGCTAACTAGTCGTGGAGGTACATATTATTTGACGTTTGTGTATTTGCTTCATTTGGCAGCCAGATGTATTGTAGATGGCCAATCCATCCCAGAAAATAACTTTCTCCAAAGGCTGGAAGCTATTATCCAAGAAATGTCAGAAAACACCCCATGCATTACTTTAGCACTGAAGTCACCATCTCTGTGAGCTGTCTCGCAGGTCCAGTATTGTACACTATACGGGAATTCATACTGATACTACAGTACACACTATGAGACAGAAACTCTGATGTTACCTGCATTTGCAACAAGCTGCAGATTATATTGTGTGCACCACTGTTTTAAAAAAACACTACTTTTTTTCCCCAAAGTTTTCACGGCGACATTTTAAAGTGATTGAAACTGAATCACTGAACTAAATTACCTATTTAAATCAAGTTTCAAAGTTCTTGCGGTTTTTACCCAGAGCTCCACGTGGAGACACAAAGGTGAAATTTCTACAACAGCAGCAATCATGTCAATAATGTTATCGTTACCTGTCCAGGACAATTTCACTTTGTGCAGGTAGGTTATTCTCATTTTCGTTCAGAAAGGATTTGATGATGGTGACAGGGTCCTCTGTGACGTTGGCCTGGGTGTCCGTCTGACCAGCAGCAGATTCACAATCAGGCTCTGCGGCATCTTGATCCAATAAATGATGTAAAATTGTATAATCAGCAACTTCTTGATCCATGGTAACAGGAGCATCACTGTGAATTTAATTTTGAAGACAACAAATTATTTCTCTCCTACAATTGGGTGGGGGTGGGGGGGGGAATTATGCAAACAAGATGAGTAAGGCGATCCTACAAGGATCCTCTAAAATGATAATCTAATCTCTTATTGTTGGCACATCCATATAATTCATGGTATTTATTTCAGTCCAGTTAAGTGAATTTTGTGCAGCTTTGCCCCCTTCCCCACTATAAGAAGCTACAGGACTGATGCCTGACTTCACACAATATTTTCCTCCTAAATCTATGATTTTTACTAAATCGACTGCTCTGTGATTTTTGATAAGAAATGCTATGACAAGCTGCAGCCTTATTTATTATTATTATGATTAATCAGATACGTAAAGGATAAAGCAAATGGCCAATACTTACCTACCAACCAAATCTGTGCCTGAATATAATGGGAGAGATTGATCCACTTGACTTCTCTCAACAATATATCCAGTATCGTTAATGCAATCCTCGTTATTTGCAGTGCGATGCTCTGAAACCTCTGCCTACAAAGTAAAGTGTAGTTGGTTAAAAAGACAACTCAAGCATTTACCTTACTTCTTTCACTGATAAGTTACTTGCTGACACGGACCTAATCTTCGTGAACCCATTTATGAGATCAGTTTTAGTACTCCACAGCCAGCATAGTAGATTTGTTAATGCAGCAAAAGATAGGGATTTGACCTGGGGGGGCTCCTATAAGTTGCTTGGAGACCTACTGAATGGACTCACTAAGCTCTCGGAATGAGTGAGTGGGAGGGCGCTTTTTGTGCAGGATTGTAAAAATTTAGCAATTTAATACTTACAGAAGCTTCTTCACACTTCAGTGCAGCCTGACGATTGTGCTTTGCAGACGGAGACCCCGTCAGATCGATCATAAATGGTCTAAAAATGAAAAAAAGAGCTGAAATATGATTGTTTACAAGTTAACGTCTTTTTAAACCACTGTTCATGTTCTCATTCAAGAATCTCCGGGGTCATCTGAGTTACAGGTAAATGATTCCCCACAATAGGCAATGCTGTTTCTGGTCATTCTGCCACCATATTTCACCTGTAGCTACAAACTGAAGAACTAGGAAACATGTACTTTAATGAAATATTGAGGAATAGTAGAACAATCTCTCCTCACATTAACAAACAACTTGCAGTTATACACTACTCTTGACGTTGGTTTGTGTCTCGGAGCACTTAATAGTGGCAGAGTTTGACACCGAGCTGGGGAGAGAGGGGAAACCGACCATAGGCACGATCAAAGGGGAAGGTGCGATCTGAAGACGGGCAAGGCAGAAGGACTGAGACAACTGGCCAATGTATGCAATTGGATCAAGTATCCATTTATCCAGATAAAATTGCACAATAACAAAACAGTCTGATGATGCAAATCAACATCAATAGTACATTATACTAATCCGGTTAAGTAGTTAATCACTCAGTCAGTATTTGATCTTACCTCTTTCGTTTAACTCCTACTAGACAGTTACTTTGCATTAGGCGGACAATAAAGTCAATAACCTGCAAAATAAGAGAGAGCCAACTCTTCACTGTGGAAAATCAGAGGAGTCTGTGAGCTGCGCTGCAACATCAGGCAACTGTGCTAACCAGAGGTTTCTACACCGATAATTAAGTAGTCGACAAATGGAGGTTCAAAAGTAAAACTTTCCACACGCACAGACTGCAAAAAATGCAGTACTCTAGCATTATAGAATAAATACATCTTGCGTTCCTAAAATATTATTTATGATTCCTCCTTGGTTATATTTCTGCACAACACGCAGGGCAAACGGTCAACCTGCAACTGGTTACATTAAGATATGCTAGGGCAGTCAGAGCAATTCAGCTGCCAGTTATCTCTCTCCCTCTTCCTTCCCCCCCATCAATAGACTCCAGAGCACATACTTTTGACTTCTTTCCTCCTGACAATTGTATCTCTGCATCACAGAACTGAATTTAGCTGCATTCTTAGTGCTCGGAGCCATCGATCACAGTCAGAGACATTTCTAAAAGTTCAAAGTGTTTTAAACTGCAGATTTAGAAGGTAAGCATAGGTTCTCAGCAAACCTACAGTACTTATGAAAGGAAAACTCAATGTTTGCTTAGACCAGGTCACCAAAGAGGTTTGGTTTCCTCACAGCAAACTTCAGGAAGAAAGACAAATATCAAACAGCATTTTACTGTAGCAGCCTCCAAAGAGAGAATCACATTAGAATTTAATAAATGGGCCATTGAAGCCAAAGATTATTTACCTTACTCAGTAATTTCTGTTGCTGTGCATGTTTCCGACGTAAGGAAGCCACTTCTCTCCACAAGGCCTGATTTTCTCTGCAGACAAGCACAGAGCATTTTTCAATAGGTCCTTCTTTCCTCCCCAGCCAATAAATTAGAACAGTTCTAATATGTCTAAAATACAAATACTAATCTGCACATAATATGAAGGCAGAATAAACGTTAGAGCTAAATGTCCGGTTGCTACAACTCAATCTCTGGTGTACCAATCTTCACCAAGGAATAAGGAAGCAATTTAATTAAAAGTTAAGATGCAGCTCCTATCAATATGTATTTCTGGTGCAACTATTGGGGGTTGGGAGAAGACAGAAATTATAAGTTTTAAGATTTGAATCCTTGATTTGCGATGCCTGATGCGTGTTGAATTTGATGGTCTCAGGACATGTTGCTGTTGGACGTTCAATCGGCTTTAAAGCCCATGTTAGGGAATGGAAAAATCAAATCAAATTTCCTATTGCTGATTTTGATTTTACAAAACTATTCATAATGATACTTTCGTTCAGTTTCCAGTTGTCAAAGGTGCACTGCTTACCTCTTCATGGTGACGAGCATGTTGTCTAGGCCTTCTTGCTTTCCTTTCATTTCCTGAATATCCAACAAAACTTTACTCAGATCACTGGGAAAGAATTTCACATCCTCTGGTCTGGAAGATGGTACCTACAAAACACCATTTTTAATATCAGATTTTTGTTCATAATATTCTTCACTCATTCATGCCTAACAGTCTGCACTGGTGTTTATACTCCACATGGGCTCCTGCCTTTCATATGTGTATGATACAATAAATAGACACACAAACTCACAATCAAACTCATTTTCATATGGGTATGATTTCATATGTGTATGATACAAAATCATACCCATATGAAAATGAGTTTGATTGTGCGTTTGTGTGTCTATTTATAGAGGAAGGGGGGAAAACAATAAAACTTAAGTCAATAAATATCTATTTGCAATGGTTTCTTTGTGAAAACGTAGACTCGATTGTGAAACTTCCTCTTTAGCCCAAGCCATTAATCCCCGTCATAACAACAATAATACAATTGGTCACTTCAATCTACGACTATTTGTGACACTGCTGTGCACAATTGGTTGCTGTGTTTCTCCCACAAATATACAGTCAATTCATTTTACAGTATATTCTGTGAAGAGCTTTGAGACATCTAGAAGACATGAAAAGCACTATATCAAATGCAAGGATTATTATTATTGTGAAGAAGCTTTATCTACAACAACTACAAGAAAAAACTACATAAGCATTACTTTTATTTAATTCAACTCAAGTGCTTCTGATTTATACATGTAAATGTGAGCTCCACTCTTGGAATAGTTACGCTGTGGTATGTAATATCACATACCCCCACCTGCTTGGGTCCTAATCCCTGACTGTTCAGTGCCTTGGGACATCCTCAAGGCGCTTTACAAATGTAATTTTGTATTTTATTGTAATAACAGCCCCTGCTCCACAGTAAAAGTGCCGCACCTTCCTTTTGATGTTTTCCAGCAAGTCTTCTTTTCCCCTTTGAAACAAAGGATGCTGAAATTCTAGAATTCCATCGTTGTCGTGCTTGAAAAGACCTCCATCCATATGCAACACCTTCCGAAACCCATCTACATCAAATGCGTTAACACAGCACATGAAGTCATTCAGACATGGCAATCTTAAACTACAGATTAATGATGATTTTGAGTTAATGCTCTCTCTCAACAGTGCACAATAATTCCCATATCATATCCTCTATGTCTGCATAAGGGATCTCAAAACAGAGATCTCACAACAAGCATTTAAACATGTAACAATCATACTCGCATCCATGTTATTAATTTCCACTTAAGAGTCTGACTGTAACCAAATAACGTGCAGTCCACCATTACAGTTAATCACTTTGGATTAATCATCTCTTACATTTCCTTATCTTAACATGCTCTTTTAATGTTATGATTTAAATCATAAATAAACCACAGGAAGTCTCCTAGTTATAAAGCTATTGATAATTAGTTTTATTTCCCCCCATTCACCCTGTACTTACACATATTCAGCTGACGAACAAAGCTGGACATGTTGTTATGTTTAAAGTATTTAGGAAGCATCTGTTTTGCAAACTTTGCTTCATCCATGACATAAAAGCTTTCGCCATTCTGCAAGCAAAGAATATTAAAAGATCTGAATGCTATAAAGGAATGAAGCCAGTATTCATCAAGTTTTCATCGGTGTGTGTTTTTTTGCAGTGTAGGGCTGCACTATCTGACTGTGCAAGAGGACTAACTCGTGGCACACCTAGCAATGGGATATGTGTTCACACTCAAAGCTTTTGCATTCTCTTCACATCACTGTATGGAAACACTAAGCAACAGTCAGGTTCTTCCCACAAAAAAGGAAACAGCTGAGGGAATACTGCCTCGGGCCACTTGTGGGATGGGGCATCAGAAAAGCACTAGTGGAACTTCAGCAGATTTGCTGTCTGGCTATGGATACTGCGAGTTGGTGGACAGAAATATTAGAGTGATACAGCACAGAAACAAGCTATTCAGCCCAATTAGTCCATGCTATACTCCATTTATACTCCATATAAAACATCCGCCCTATCCAATTCCCCTCATTTTTATTCCCTTCTGCTTCATGTATTCCTCAAGTTTCTCTTAAATATATTGATGCTATTTGCTTCAACCACAGCTTCTGCCAGCGAGTTCCACATTCTCACTAACCTCTGGGGTCGGGGGATTTAGAAGAATGTGGGCAACAGGATAACTCACTTGATGTGACTTACACTTCCCCTTCCCACGTTGTGCATTATGAAAATGAGTGCCTTCAAACATTCACCCTGCCCCCACCACCTTCTAATGATTGCCATTTAAATCAACAATATTTTAATTTCTAAAATGTCTAATTGTAACATTTAAATTTTCTCTTCTCTTCGGTGATCAACAGCAGGTTCAAATTCAGTAACTTCTATTCAGTAAATAGTTAACACCAACTTGCATTTATATAGCGCCTTCACACAGGATAAGGTCTCAGAGAGCTTCACAGGGATAGTGGAGGCCAAATTGGAGTAACTGTGGGCACTGTGGAAGAGGTGGGTTGATTTTTCAGCAGGAGTTTTTCCAGTGGTTGAGTTGGTGAAAAGCCATCAGTCACTTCATTTCTTGCTCATCAATAAACTGTCAAATTTAAAAAGAGAATTTTGATAATGTGCAGATTTTTTGAAATAGTGAGTTTCATTATTCTGTTCATATGGTTTACTTAGTGGTAAATGTGTGAGTGGTTTCTCCCACAAAATACAGCCAATCCTCTTTATGATATACCCTGTGAAGCACTTTGGGATGTCTCAATGATGTGTTAAGGCAGTATATCAAATGGGCCAGGTGTTACATCTAAAGTAAGTATTTAATACAGCTTGATTGTCATTTGACAGCTTTGTGTGTCAGTATTGAACTGCAGAATTATATTGCTGTCTGCCACCAGGTGGCATTTTCACACACTAACAGAAAATTACTTTTCTTTTAAACTCAGTACTGTAATACACCTCAAGACGCAATTTTTTTAAAAAAACCTACACAAATCGCATATACAGATTTTTTTAAATATTGCTTAAATTGTCTTTGTTTGCCTTTAATAAAGAATATTCCCCAAAGTATTTTCAGTCATTCGAAAGAAGAATATAAAGAGTGTAGTGTCCCCACTTTCATCCAATACGAATGAATAATTCACTTGCATTTATATAGCGACCCTCAGGCAGGGTAGCATCTTAAGAGAGCTTGGAATTGCAATGTGTGATTAACAATTTTGAGAAAATAAAAATATTCAGTGAGAAAACGCAATTGAAAGCAGAGCAATGCTCTCACTCCTCTGCTACATTTTTAAGTCAGTGTTGCATCATAAACTTTCTTCACTGAATCTCGATATACTATCACTGTCAAGAGCCAAGGTCTTAACCAATACTACTCTGAAACTTGTTGCTGGGTGTGCTGGAAGACTATTGCGAGTCTCCACGTTTCCCTTCTACCCTAATGTTTGTCTTGGTTCAATATTTACCCTCAACTGAGATTAAGAGCTCAGCTCATTCAGGGATATGGGCACAGATCCACATACTACTATATTATGGTGCTTTACTACCAATATTAAATATGGGCAGACTAAGAAGAAAAAGGCTGTACATCGACAACCTCCTGTAGCCTATTGTTATAGCCAAAGATGGGCTCAGTAGGTTGGGTTAGAACATTGGTGCACTTTTTCAAACCCAGGGTGTATTATCTCCATGCAACCCCAAAAGTTTTCATACTTCCAGTATTTAGGCAGATGACAATGTGCATCCTCAACTCCAATAAAGCTGCTCAATGTCCTGGGTATGTTGTTTATATTTTTAAAAAAGTTCCAACAGGCATTTTGCTGGCCAAATAATATCTCCAGAATACTTCAAGAAAAAAGAGAATTACTGAATGTAAATTAAATCTACGTATTCTGCAAGCTAGTGGAAGCCATGAGTTGGACTAATTTATACCACTTAATCATCCATTTTGTGCTAAAGTTCAGGTTTACAATTAATATTCCTGATCAAAAATGACCAATTCTGCAATTGGAAAAAGGTAGAAGAGGTGGACGTAAGCGTTCCCTAGGTTTTTTTTAAAAAAAATGGTTAGTGTTTGGTACTCCTAAAGGGTAAGAAATTAATCGCAATGAAATGTAAACAAAATCACTGGCTAACACAGCAGCGTGAAGCTAAGAGCCTCCTGTAGGCACCGGCATTCAATCTTTAAATCACTCTTTGGTGTCTGCTCTTTATATGTGGTTAATTATCTGTGCATTCCTTCTCCCCATCCCGTCAAAATAACATTGTAAACAAATGTACAGTCCCGTAGCTCAGTGGTTAGATTATTCGCTTTGCAAGCGAGAGAGACCGGGGTTCGATTCCCGGCAGGGTGAAACCTTGGGCAAGTTTCCTTACTGCACCCGCCTGACAATAATCCCTCAAGAAGAAAAAAAAACCCCATAATAAATTGGGTCACTCAATCCACGACGGTGCGTGGGACGCTGCCGTGCGCAATCGGCTGCCGCGCCTCGCCCGCAAACGTGCGGTCAGTTCACTCCGCGGCGGATCCGCCGGAGCGCCGCGAGGCGCCGAGAAGACGCCGCGTCGAGGTGCAAGCGCGATTGTAACTGCGTGGCCATCCTCAAACCAGACAGAGACCGCTCCATGACAACAGGTCAGACCACTCCATGACGACAAGCCCTCCCCCTCCTCCTCCTCCCCCTCCTCCCGAGGCTGAAGCTGAAGCTGAAGGGTTAAACCCTGAACCCTGAACAAAACCCCAAACGCCTTCGAGTGCATCACAGGGATCAGGAAACCCAACCCACAAAACAAACAGAAGCAAACCCCCCCCCACCCCACCCCTATGAGGATTTACTTTTTTAAAGTAGGTTTAAAATCCTGTTGCTTTACAACTCGGCAACCATTACCCCCCCCCCCCCCCACTACCCCCCTCCCCACACCCACTACCCCCCCCCACTACCCCCCTCCCCACACCCCCCCTCCCCCCCACTACCCCCCTCCCCCCCCACCCCCACTACCCCCCCCCGCCCCCCCACTACCCCCCTCCCCACACACCCCCCCACCAGCCCCTGAGGGCGGTCATGCGTTTTATTTCGGTCGCAAAGAGTCTCGTCCCGTGGAAACAATCCCCGGAGGTCGAAACCGGCTCAAAAGTTTACAAAACTGCCTGAGAGGTGGGCCTCGGGCGGTTTACACACCGCCACTCGCGGCATCGCCACTCACTCACTCTCTCTCTCTCATCTCTCTCTCTCTCTCTCAATCTCTCTCTCGCTTTCTCTTCCTTCTTCCTTTTGAAAAAAAATTTAAATTTAAATGTTTTCACCCCCTCCTCCCCCCCTCCCACGAGAATAAACTGCAAACAACAGTGACTTTAAACGACAGGATAATACCCCCCCCCCCCCACCACACACACACACACACCAAAAAAAATATATAAACCTCAAGTTGAAGGAGCTCTCGGGGGGGGAAACCCCAAGGATTTGAACAACAACAACAACAAAAAACAGAGACGCTTTTAAACGCAGCTTCTTCCACTGATTTATTTAAATCTCCTCACAGACTACTCCTCCTCCGCCACCGCCGCCGACGACCCCCCCTCGGGGCCTTGTTACCTCTCCTTTAACTCGCGCGCTCGAGGCCTTGGCCCTCCCTCCCTCACCCCCTCCCTCTCCCACCCCTTCAAAATCCTTACCCCGTTCCAACAAATAATGCTATCAGTTTGCGGGTCCTCCAGCAAACTCCAGAGCTTAGTGAGGAACGCCGGCACAGCGCTCGCGTGCTTCATGTCGGTGCTTTATTTGTAAAGGGGGGGGGGAGGGAGGGAGGGTGGTGGTGGTGGTGGGGGACGGGACGACGACGCAATCAGACGCACGAGCGTACGCACGCACACCGCACGCACGGACACGCACCGCACGCACCCAACATGGCGCCCGCGGCTGGTGGTCGGGGAGGGGGAGGTTCTCATTGGCTAGCCAGGTGCCACGTGACCGACCGGGGTGCTGGGAGGAGGAGTTAGTCGGTTAGTCCCACCCCCCCGCCCCACCCCACCCCACGTCGGTTCAACTTTTTATCCATAGCATTTGGAATTGATGTCACCTCTCAATAAAAACTCGAGGGTTTATAAAGTTATCGCCCACAAATATTGGGTTCGAGCGCTGCGGGGGCGGCGAGAAGACGTGGGGGGGGAGAAAAAAGCGCTGCATCAAAGGCCAGGAGTGCGATGGCGTTGTCGTCGTCGTTTTTTTTCACCTCCGAGGCAGCGCTGTGGGGGTAGTGGTGGGGGGGTATGGGGGGGGAAAGAGAGGCGGCGGCGCGGTTTGTGGCCTCGTCAGCACCTGCCGTCCTTCGGTCGCGCCGTTAAACCCGTGTCCCGTCTGCCCGTTGAGGTGAACCTCGAAGGTGCAGCGGCACTATTCAAAAAACCGTTCCCACCCCCTACCGGAAAGCGATCCAAAATCGACTAACAATCGGGCTCCTACTTACTGCTGGGTAATCGGAGGTATTTGGTGTAAGGAAACTTCCCTAAGATTTCACCCCCCCACACACCTGGGAACCTAACTCGAGTCCTCTCACTAGTATGGCAAGCAAGCTATCCAGGACGCTACGGGAGTCCTCTAAGGACCCATTGGCACTATTTGAAAAGAGAAGGGAGTTTCTACCAATGACTTGGCAAACAGTCCTCCAAATAAAATTGATCACTCACTTCACGGCTGTTTGTGTGACAATGCAGCGCGCAACTGGCTACCGCATTTCACCCACAAAATACAGTCAATCCACTTTACAGTATATCCTTTGATGCGTTTTCAGAAGTCTCAACATAAGACACTAAAGCAAATGCAAGTATTATTATCAATGTCTACCCAAGGAGGCAGACAAGAGCTTGGACCAGCACACTGGTGGCCAACCTTTTTGGTCAATCAAGAAAATAAATGCTCTCAATTGAATATTGATTTATGCCATATTAAAAAATATTCAATCGGGGGAAAAACTGGAAACAAAACATTGATTTAAAATACTCGCCTAGGCTTGTGCGAATGTTTGGTAGAACACTTCCAGCTGGTTTAACACGTCCTCCCAACAGTGCACCAAACCTCCTGCACTGCAATGGAATCAGTCCTTATGTGGGGCTTAAATCTACAACCTTCTGAATTGTGGCAAGCGCTACCAACTGACGCTTAACTTGTGTATCTTGGCATCTGTTGTGATCCCCATTAAGTTCCGGTGAGTTGGCAAACAATCCTCCAGCTAAAATTGGCCACATCTTTCATGGCTATTTGTGGGACATTGATGTATGCAGATTAGCTTCTGCATTCAATGACAAATACAGTCATTACACCCCATAGTAAATCCTGTGAAGTGCTTTTGAGATGTTTTAAAGATGTGATAAGGAACTATATTCAATGTATGGCTGTATTAAGATGCAAGTGATTGCAGGTTTAGTTTTATGTACATTATATAACAATCAAATCTGTAATGTTTACAATATTTCTGTAATTATGACTACTTTATGGACAAATAAGCACACCACACACATTTAAGTACAAAATCCATTTTATTTAACTTATAAAAAAGATCATGCGGGATCTGTTTTCTGATTTAAAAAGAAAATAATCAGCAAATTATCCAACATTGCACTCGGCTGTTCTGATGGGCGAAAGAGTAGCACAACAACAAAATTACATTTACAGAGCGCCTTTCATGTCGGGAGGACATCCCAAAGCACTCCCAGCAATATGCTGGCAGACGGAAATCAAAGAAAATAGGGAATTGGGTGCCAAAATATTAAGATAGCTTACAATAAAAAAACTTCATACGATTATGAACTTACTTGTTTATAATTTTGTTTGAAGAGACCAATGTGAATGGAAACACTAACAAAAGTAGACAATATAAGGATAACTAGTCATTGACTGTTTTGCATTAATTAAACAATTATGAATATTGCTGTCATATTCGATGACCCAGTGGAATTTAACTATATTTGCAGCTTTGTATTTTAATGTTTTTATACAAAAACACCCAGTTTGTTTTTGCTCATCACCATGCGATGCTAGATGTAATATGGGCAGGTAAATAAGATGGGTTGTGAATGGTGAAAATTATCTATTTCCTAGGGATCTTTTGGATTGTCCACAATAATTGGAGGCAAATGACTAAAGAAATACAATTCCTAAGAAAAAAAATATCCAGTAACAAAGTTGAGAAATTATGCAACTAGGAGTGAGGGGGGAAGAAATATACATCAATAGTACAAACCTTTCAGCCATTACTACCTCTGGATTTCTTCTTAGGAACCTGTAAGTAAAACATGTTTCAGTCAATATTGTGGAAATGAGAACATACAGAACACATTTATCAGCAAGCGGGTGCTACAACTGCTAATGAATATGAAAGTTATTTGAATTACAGTGACAAAGAACTGTCTAAATCAGACATGAAGACCAAGACTGGCCTATAATTTTAAAGGATTCATATTCACATCCTGTATGATTCTACGACAGAGTTCCTCAGATGTACACCACCTACAAATGGAAATTTTCCTGTATATCGAAAGGATTGCCACTCAAGATTTTAGTTCAAAATCCACTGGCATGCAAACCTAGCACATATATAGCAATTTTTAAAACTAAACTCTTAATTCCTGTCTTTGTATTGTAAATCGATGATCAAAAAGTTCAGTCAGCAAAGAAAAAACTCAGAATCTCTTGCAGTGCTTCCCAAGGCAATATTGCCTAACAGAACAAACAAGCTTATTATCTGGTCTGCCTTCAGTCTCCCCAATTCCCCACCAAACATGATTTGTAGTTGTGTCACAAGTCTCACATTTTTTCCCCTTTTGTTTAGAGTGCTTTAAACCTTTTGTTTACAGATATGAATAATGTATTTATAATGTAAATCAGTTGATAATCTTTGATTTGAGCTGATGAACATAAAAGGGATATATTTTATGATGCACCTGGAAAGTAATAACATGTCTTCCACACTTAAGCACCATCAGGTATTTATTTAAGATATCCTTCTTAAATGCTTTTGATTTAAATAATTGATCAATCTGAGCAAATAGTAGTATGAACAAACTGTTCAACCGAAAACTATTGTGGCACTCTATATATTATTATACATACACACAAACCTGTGTGGCTTATCCACTGATTGTGTACATTTATGGTTGACGGAATTATTTTAAGAAACCGTTGACCAGCAATTTATTATGGCGCCAGAATGGTAAGACATTTGGAACGACCAACTGTGGCAATTACTGTCTAATGATAAAAGTTCTAATGTACCTACTTCATTATTTAAAATAGTCAAAAGTATTCCAGAGTACAAGTGAAATTTGTAATGTGAAATATTCAGCACATATGCAATCATACACCATCACAAAACAGAATGATAGTTCAGTATGTCACATACAATGTGTGGCATTTTTATATCATAATGACCAAGAGTGTCCCAGATTCAATCTCAAGTGCTGAACATCAAACAAACAAGAAATTGCTGAAGAAATCAATCATCTCATAGTTTAATGATGACGACTAATCTTTTCCATTCGACACAGTAATCTTCAAGACTCAGGTTTTTCTATAGATCATAAATGTTTAAACAAATGTACCCCCAAGAAGAATGTTAACTGTAAGTTTTGCAGGTCTCTCATTACTGTGCACTTAGTATGTTAAAATACATGATATAGGGAAATCCAAAGAGATTAATTGGAGCTCAGGACTAGAAGACTTTCTTCAGCCATTGAGCAGTTCCATGAATCATGGTTGCCATGCTTACCATTCTTTGCAGATGCATTCTTTGAACAGGCTATCCATATAGTGCAGTTGCATATTCTTTGAACAGGCTATCCATTCAGTTATTCAAATTCCTGCCTGAGGTACTAGTTTCAGCAGAGATTTTTTTGAGGGGAAAAATAGAAGTTTAGAAAAATTAGTCCTAAGCAAGCAAAAATGACCAACAGTAATCCCCAAATGGCTTTGTCAACTTCTGAATATTATGGTTGAGCTATTTTGAGGAATAATTTTTTTTGTCAAATAAAGTAGGTTTGAGTAGAAGCAGAAGGCTATCAGGCTGGGGCTTGGGAGTTTTACTTGTGATGCCATCTTGGTACTTGAAATTTCTCTGTTTGCTCATAATTATATTCATATTTTTTCAGAGAAAATAGTGAATGTGAAATAGATTACACAAAAAAATGGTAGAGATTGGACCAGGAAATTCAAGAGATGAAGCTAGAGTTTAGTGAAGAATTCAATTTTGCAGGAACGAGCAAGAAAAGTATAGATTATTTAAATTGAGACAGGACAGGTGGGACGGCTGCAATCGCCAGTCATTCTTCTACATTGAAATGCAAGATTAGCCAATAATAAATTTGATGAACGGGATAATGCTTAGGAAGTGAAATGATCTATGCAAGTATAGACAAAATATAGAAAAAAAACAAGTCACTTTTTGGCTAATTGTGCTTTCATACATCACCAGTAAAATTTATATCTTAATCAAAAATGATTCTTTGCACCTTTTCAGCAAAAAAATACCATTTCAAATAAACACATAAGATCATTCAATTGAAAACTCTAGTTATTCAGTGGAAGCAAATTTTCTTACACTAACGCAACCCCCAAATCAGTACGTTGTTGTAGCAATACAATGGAGTCAACGCAAGATTTTCCCTGAACAAATTGTACTTATATAGTTTCCAAGGTTGTTAATTACTAACACAAGATTCAATTCCAACCCAAAA